GAAAAACATGATGATAAAGAATTTTCTGAAGCAGGTTCACCACCTCAACCTCAACCTTCCATAAATGACCCACCTCATGTACCTAGTAATATGTCACAAGAATTAACACCTTTTCAACGTATGTTTTCTGAACCAAATCTCTCACCTCAACCTCAAACATCAGGACAAGACCCTATACCAAAATTGACATCATTTCAAAGGATGTTTTCCAATCAAATTCCATCACCTCAACCAAAGGTTCAACGTCCTGTTCCTCAACTAAGACCGTTTCATTTTCAGCCTATATTTTCTCATCCAATTCCACCACCTCAACGACCAATCTTGTATTTTCCTCCTGGACCATCACATCCTCCTCCTTCTCCACCTCATCAACCTCCCCGCGTTCGTGCTCGTCTTAACCCACAAAGTGAAAAAAGTGAAACCATCCCTATACCTTTTCCATGGGCTACTAATCGAAGAGCAAAGCTTCACAGTTTGCATTATCTCCGCCAAAATGGAATAGTTAATATCACTGGAGAAGTCCAATGCAAGAGATGTGATACTACATTTGAAATATCATTTGACGTGACAGAGAAGTTTCCTAAACTCTGGACATATATTCTCGAAAACAGACAATTCATGAACGATAGGGCGCCACCAAATGTATGGATGAATCCAACATTGTCGGACTGTGTGCATTGTAATTAAGAAAACTGTGTGAAACCAATCATCGCTAAGAAGAAACAGAATATCAATTGGCTATTTATGTTGCTAGGTCAATTGCTTGACTGTTGCAACCTTGCCCAATTGAAATATTGCTGCAAACACACAAACAATCATCGAACCGACGCAAAGGATAGAGTTCTTTATTTAACCTATCTCGCACTCTGCAAGCAACTTGATTCTACCGGACCTTTTAATCTTTAACCGTTAGCCATTTCGTTTCAGGTTATGCGGATGATCTAGAATGTTATTATTCTATTTTTTTTTATTATTTTTATGTTGATGTTAGTTTTAAGTCTTTGGAATAATTTTAAGTTTTGCTAATATTTGACGTACAACAAACATAATTGTTTGTTTTAATTGTTTTAAGGAATGTATTCCTTTTATAATTATTTTTGTTTTGAGTTCACTGCATGAGTATTTTTTTTAAGTATAGTTCTTGTTCTTTAATTTCTACTCAATTTTATTTGTTTTCTCATCAAACATCTGAAGGAGAAGTCATTCAATGTGCCATGTTAGTAGCCTCTCAAACAGTGAGTACAAAAACACTAAAGAAGAAAATGTGGATAAAGGCCATGAAAGAAGAACTTGAGGCTATAGAAATTAACAAGACTTAGAGGTTGACTAAACTTCCAAAGAACAAGAAAACTATCAGCGTCAGATGGTTTTTCAAGGTGAAACTAAGTCCAGATGGATCAATTGGTAAACACAAAGCAAGGTTAGTAGCAAGAGGTTTTCTACAGAAACATGGGTTAGATTACTTTGAGATGCTTTCTCTTGTAGCGAGACATGAGATGATCATACTGGTGATTGCGATAATTGTTAACAGGAATTGGCTTCTGATACATATGGATGTGAAATCTACATTTCTAAACGGTCCATTGCAAGAAGAGGTATACGTTTCATAACCTTCTGGATTTATGAAAAAGAATCAGAAAGGGATGATGTACAAGTTACATAAAGCGTTTTATGGACTGAAATAAGCTCCTAGAACTTGGAATCTGAAATTGATTCATTTTTCAAGCTTTAAGGATTTAGAAAGTGTGAGATGAAGTACAAGGTTCAGCATACTTCTGAAATCAATAATTCTAGTATGTCTTTATGTTAATAACAGGGAGTTGTGAACATGAGATAACTAAGTTAAAGAAGGTGTTAATTAATGAGTTTGAGATGAGTGCTCTAGGAAATATGACATATTTTCTAGGGATGGAGATTATGTAATATGAGAAGGGTATCATTTTGCATCAGCTGGAGTATAAACTTGAGCTTCTGAAAAGATTTGAGCTGCTAAATTGTAAGACTGTTGTCACACATGTTGAAACGAATCACAAGTTGGATTCTAATGTAAATGCTACAACTTTCAAAGAGCTTATTGGCTCTTTGAGGTATTTGTGTAGTACCAGACCTAATATTTGTTATACAGTTGGAATGGTTAGAAGGTTCATGAGTAAACCGAAGTGGTCTCATTACCAAGTTGCTGACAGGATTATGAGGTATATAAAGGGGACTCTGAAGTATGAAGTTTTGTTCTCTTATGGTGAAAATTCTAATTTAGAGTTGATTTATTACTTAGACTCTGATTGGTGTGGAGACATTGTTGACAGAAAAAGTACTTATTGACATTTGTTTAAGTATCTGCGAGGTCATATTTCTTGGTGTTTAATAAACAATCAGTTTTTGCTTTGCCAACCTGTAAAGTTGAATATATTGCAGGTGTTGTGGCTACATGTCAACCTGTTTGGCTTCTAAATTTACTGCAGGATCTGAAGATCAAGGTAAACAAGCCTTTGAAGTTGATGATTGATAACAAGGATGCAATCAATCTTGCCAAGAACCCAGTATTGCATGGGAGAAGCAAGCATATTGAGACTAAGTATGAACTTTTGAGAAGTTAGGTTCAAAATGAATTGTTAGAAGTTATGCACTGTAGCACCCTGAAGCAAATAACATATATTTTGACGAAAGCAATCAAGACTGATCAATTTCTCCACTCGAGGGATGAAATTGATGTTATTAGTTTTGATTAGTTGAATATGAATTAAGGGATAGTGTTAGAAGTAATTTATATTTAGTAGTAGTATTAGTTTTGTTAATTAACCTAATTGGTGTAAGCTAACATTCTGTTTACGTGGCATTATTGTTTGTGTATACAAACAAGTGTAGTTGTCAATAGTGTAGTGTGTGTAACCACTCATTGTAACCGTTTTAAAAGAGTAGTGAAAATTTGTTATTTCAATTTTCTCCCTCTTCTCTCTCTTCCTCCATCTTCTGCATCTCGTGTACCAATAATTTTAACTTATATTTTAAATTTTTTGTTAAGTTTATTTATTAAAAATAGTATATTTTATTACTTACATTTTGTCTACATTTCCTCAACATTTATATATATATATATATATATATATATATATATATATATATATATATATATATATATATATATATATATATATATATATATATATATATATATATATATATATATATATATATATATATATATATATATATATATATATATATATATATATATATATATATATATATATATATATATATATATATATATATATATGTAAAACTAAACTAAATTTACAATCATAACAAATATGTCAATGTTTGACAAACATGCTATGTTATACATATGGCGTGTACTATGTATTTATTGGTAACGAGATTCTTCGACTAGAGAATGTGTATTATTTTACTTGATAATAGTATATATTTTATAATAATATAAAATAAACTACACACCTTATAATACTTTATTTAAATTTATTAAAAATATCAAACATCAACTTTCATATTATTTTAGAAAGTCATATTAAATCTAGCCTAAAAAATTTAAGTGTAATTAATTAGAACCATGTTCTAAAAAAATCTAGAAAAGATCTAGTCAGATGATTGGTGTTTAGAAAATTAAAGGAAAAACTTGTCTATCCCTCACACACAAAATATTGAGAGTTTATTTGCATCCAATAACATGATACCATCTATTTATAATATGTTTAATTATTTATTAAATAATATAACTTTTTTATTATTTTTAAAATATTTTACACTACGGATAATTTTACTAACTTTTTAAATTGAGTAAATAAAAATTCACCAAATTAAATACTTATATAATTAACCTTACTATCAAGTACAATAACCAAATTCGGCATAAGTTTGACAAATCATTTTTAGAATAATGTGTTCAAAAATCACTAAGAAAAGACATATCTAGATAAATATATTATTCAAAATTGTTATAAAAGCTTTATTATCCACTAATGAATTAACCTCTTGAAAATGACAAATGAATATAATATTCGATTCATTAAGATAAAAATGATTTTAAAACTCATCAATGTACTCGCACATATATCACCAACACAATTTGTTTGTATGACTGAATTTAGTATTTGGTTAAATGAATTTGGAAACTTCAAAATAATTTATTATATGCATTAGTCTGTTTGAAAAAAAAATCTTCAAATTTAAATTTCAAATTCATTCACTCACTATTTTAAACAAAAAAAAACATGTATTTCTCTCACCATATTTCTTCTCTCATTCTCATTATTTTTTCACTCTTTTACACATAGTACTCTCTCTTTTAATCTCTTCTCAATTTTCTCACTATTATTCTATCAACTTATCATGAGCAACTCGGAACAACATGATGATAAAGAATTTTCTGAAGCAGGTTCACCACCTCAACCTCAAACTTCCATAAATGACTCACCTCATGTACCTAGTAGTATGTCACAAGAATTAACACATTTTCAATATATGTTTTCTGAACCAAATCTCCCACCTCAACCTCAAACATCAGGACAAGACCTTATACCAAAATTGACATCATTTCAAAGGATGTTTTCCAATCAAATTCCATCACCTCAACCAAAGCTTCAACGCCTTGTTCCTCAATTAAGACCGTTTCATTTTCAGCCTATATTTTCTCATCCAATTCCACCACTCAACCGCTAATTCCACCGCCTCAACGACCAATCTTGTATTTTCCTCCTAGGTCATCACATCCCCCTCCTTCTTCTCCACCTCATCAACCTCCCCGCGTTTGTGCTCGTCTTAACTCACAAAGTGAAAAAAGTGAAACTATCCCTATACCTTTTCCATGGGCTACTAATCGAAGAGCAAAGCTTCACAGTTTGCATTATCTCCGCCAAAATGGAATAGTTAATATCACTGGAGAAGTACAATGCAAGAGATGCGATACTACATTTGAAATGTTATTCGACGTGACATAGAAGTTTCCTAAACTCTGGACATATATTCTCGAAAACAGATAATTCATGAACGATAGGGCGCCACCAAATGTATGGATGAATCCATCGTTGCCAGACTGTGTGCATTGTAATCAAGAAAATTGTGTGAAACCAACCATCGCTAAGAAGAAAAAGAATATCAATTGGTTGTTTCTGTTGCTAGGTCAATTGTTTGGCTGTTGCAACCTTGTCCAGTTGAAATATTGTTGCAAACACACAAACAATCATCGAACCGGCGTAAAGGATAAAGTTCTTTATTTAACCTATCTTGCACTCTGCAAGCAACTTGATTCTACTGGACCTTTTAATCTTTAACCAGTAGCCATTTCGTTTTATGTTATGCGGATGATCTAAAATGTTATTATTCTATTTTTTTTTATTTTTACGTTGATGTTAGTTTTAAGTTTTTGGGATAATTTTAAGTGTTGCTAATATTTGACGTACAACAAACATAATTATGTTTGTTTTAATTGTTTTAAGGAATGTATTCATTTTATAATTATTTTTGTTTTGAATCCACTGCATGAGTATTTTTTTAAGTAAAGTTCTTGTTCTTTAATTTCTACTCAATTTTATTTATTTGCTCATTAAACACTTACGTTCCATCCTTTAATTTTCACTTAAATTTCCATTTGATTAATAATTTCATTTTTTTTCATAATGTGTTTTTCTGTATACCCTAAAAAAAAATAAAGTATGAATCCTAAAAATCTCGACTTCATTACTAATCTTTATAGCACATGAATTATCTATGAATTAATCATGTTGATTATAATAATAAATTGATTTTTTTTTATATTTTTTAAAAATAATTAGTCCTGTTAATTATAATGATAAATTAAATTTAAATGAAATTAGTTAATTGAGTAGCGGTTGCTTTAATTGAGTTTTTCAATTACCCATCTGTTGACTATACCAAAAATGAAGTGAAAAATTCAATTTTAGTAAATATATTTTAGATGAATATATTTTACTTATATCATTTCTAATTAATTTTGTTTTGAGTCTATGAATTCAAATTTTCATGCATGCATGCATCTAGGAGCTTTTCTTTTGAGTCACATTCCTTCATCTTTTAATTTGTATTAATTTTGTGTTTGAAATCAGTATAAAGAATGGTAATTTGAATTCTTTATTAGTGTCAATTACTAACAAAATACTATGAATTACTATTTTCTCCTTATACGTCGTTAGCTATTGTCATAATGGTTAAATCTTGCACTATTTTTTCCTGCTTGGTGTACTATAATTTACTATTTGAAAACTTAATTTTATTTTAACCTAATATTTTTTTTATAAGCAAAGAAAACTGGATTAAAGAGGAGTATACTCAACCCATATTATAAGAAAAGCTCGTTAGCAAAACTAGGATAAAAACTTGTAAAAAAAGCATCTACCTGAATTTGATTTCCAATCCACCCATTCATGAGATAATAAACTCTTGAATTTGACTTGATATTCAAGTAGTAGTACAAGGCCAAGTTAATTAATTAAGGTTAGAATTTGTTACTTAATAATCAAGTTATATATATATATATATATATATATATATATATATATATATATATATATATATATATATATATATATATATATATATATATATATATATATATATATATATATATATATATATATATATATATATATATATATATATATTTTGTAATTCAGTTTCATTAATATTCAATAATAATAATTTTAATTTTTTATTCTTTTTTTTCTACTCACTAAAAGTGCCTCACGCACAAACAAATTAGTATTTAGAGTTTTGGTGAGTTTTTTGATCGTGTTTTCATGAATCACACGTCGATGATCGTGTTTTCGGGATCGTGGGTTGTTAATTGTGTTTGCTGCAAAGATGAATGATAACAATGACATTTTAAATTCTCTTCCAATTCTTGACAGCAAAAATTGGATCCAATGAAGAAAACAGATGCAATCTTTATTTGAATGTAATAGAAATTACATTATCCGACAATTCAAGATTAAGCATTCTAAGTTCTATTACCATTGTATCTAGATGATTTGTAGTCCCAATATCATCCAGTTCAGGTAAAGTTTTCCAACAATTATCTTCTTTATCAACACCACGATTCTCCATCTGAAGAGAATTTTTATTAAAAAAAGTTGATTTTAAACAAAGTTGACACCCATACTTTCAAAAAAATTCTTTGTTATTGGGTTAAAACATTTGTAACCCTTTTATTTGAAGCGTAGCCAAGAAAAACACATTTTTTAGCATTAGGATCCAATTTGGAACGAAAAATATTTGAGATGTAGACATAACAAATACAACCAAAAGTTTTAAGGGGAAGATCCGCAATGATGCGAGATGTGGGAAAATAATTTTGTAAAACTTGCATAGGAGTCTCATATTTTAAAACACGAGATATAATTCTATTGATGAGGTAACAAGCAGTTAATAAGGCATTTCCCCAAAGATATATAGGTACATTCATAGAAAATATGATAGCTCTAGTAACTTCGGGGATATGTCTATTTTTTCTTTCAGCAATACCATTTTGTTGTGGAGTATCACAACAAGTGGGTTCATGAATTATCCCCTTAGCTACTAGAAATGTACTTAGATATTTGTTGAAATATTCAGTGCCATTGTCAGATCTTAGAATTCCAATCTTATTTTGAAATTGGTTTTCAATAATTTGAAAAAAAAATCTTTAAACCTTTGTTCCACTTCAGATTTTTTTCCTAATAGATAAACCCAATACACACGTGTATGGTCATCAATAAATGTGACAAACCATTTTTTCAGACATGGTTTTAATTTTTGAAGGACCACAAACATCACTATGGATTAAATAAAAAATTTATGAAGCATAATAAACTTTTGAAGTAAAAGACACACGACGATCTTTAGCTAAGTGACATGTTTCACAATGAAATTGTGAGAAATTTATTTCTTTGGCATATTTTGGAAATAAATACTTAAGATAAGGGAAACTAGGATGACCTAATCTTTTATGCCATAACATAACTTGATCTGAAACGAGAGGTAAACTTGCATTGTTTAAACCAAAAAAAAACATTGCATTTTCAAGGGGAGTTTCATCAAAGTAGTACAATCCATTCATTTGTATAGCAATTCCAATCATCTTCCCCGAGTTCTGGTCCTGAAAAACACAAGTGGAAGAACGGAAAATGATAAAACAATTAGTGTCCTTAGAGAATTTATGAACAAATAAAAGATTTCAAGCAAACATAGGAACGTGTAAAACAAATTTCAAAGTAATTTGCTCTGAAATGTTTATGCTGCCTTTGCCTGCAATACTAGAATAACTACCATCAGCAATCCTTACTTTTTCAAATCTGGAAAAAGGGAAATAGGAACTGAATAAATGAGAGCAATTGGTCATATGTTTAGATGCCCCTGAATCTATTATCCAAGGGTTGGAGTGGTTTTGGACAGATAATACCCAAGAATTCTTACCTGTTTGTGCCACAGTTCCAATAGGAACATTAGGTGATAAATTGAACTTTAGAAGTTTAAAAAGGTGACTCATTTGCTCCTTAGTAAATGGAGACGCGTCAGCCTCATTAGTTGTAGACATAGGGCGGTCACAAAACCTGCTAGCCTTTCTATTATTTGGCCCACCATGTAGTTCGAAATAGTTTTGCCGAGTGTGACGACTTTGACCACAGTAGTTGCAAACTAAATGGTTCTTGTCATCACCGCGTGGATTAGGGAAAGGTTTGCGATTGACTTGAGGAATATCCAATAGATCCTTCGACTGGTGGAGGGACAATGACAACCTTTTTTTCCAAGCATCACCTTCCTGTGACTCTCTTCGTGACACACTTCAGCAAATACCTCACCAATTGGAAGGATATGATTCCTGCCAAGTAAAACTAAGGCTCGTGGTCGTGACAAGAACCATTTAGTTTACAACTCAATATTTAGACCTGCAAGAAACTTTGAGACATGACGAACATCCACCATTTTATTGTACTGCTTGCAGTCCTCGGGTGACTTTCACTCGTATACATTGAGTAGATCCAGATCTTGCCAAATACGCTTGAGACAATTGAAGTATTTGGTAACAGAATCTTCAGCTTGACGAATTTCTCCATGTTGGAGAGTTAATTCATAAATTTGGGATTGGTTGTCCAAATTTGAATACATCTGAGAGACACTTTCCCAAATATCTTTTGCAGTAGCATAACAAAAATAGTTTGCACCTATCTCTTCAGTCATGGAATTAACTAACCATGTCATGACCATGGAAATTTTCAGCATCCCAACTATCATAGTCTGCGCCTTCCTTGTCTGGTTGTTTCTTGTCTCCAGTGGTGTAGCCAATTTTTCCTCTTCCCCTGGTACAAGCGGATAGACTGTGACCATCAAAAATAGTTAGGACCATTCAGTCGAAATGTTGTGATCTGAAAAGGGTGGTTTTCATGGTAAATCTTAACAGATTGAGGTATTTCAGGTTTAGGTGAAGAATGTTTGGGCGAATGCTGGGACTCGGTATCAGACGACTGATCAGACATTATGTGAGATGAAAAAAACTAAGGAATTCTTCCAGCAATTGATACCATAAAGAAACAAAAAATATGTATTCCTTTGATATATTAGTAAGTAATCCATGAAAAGTATTTATAGAATACAAGGGACACATCAATAATCCTAAATCTGGCTTGAGAATCAAAGTAATTATTCTCCCTATAAATGTTAATTCTAAATATGGTAGAAGACAACTAATTACTAATTATCATTTACAATGAATAGTATGATGAGTTGTATAACACATAATCTGTTGATTATGTACTTAACTATCTAATAACTTCCAACGTATTCACATTGGGTCAAAAATTAACCTAAAGGTCAAAGACTCATCTAAACAAATGAGAGAGACACCACATATTTATTTAATTTATTTAAATAGGAATATTCGTATTTTTGGTGATTTGCGGTGGTTGGTATGAAGTATTGAGAATTATGGATTTTGGGTTATTTATTTAAATATAAGTAAATTAAGGGAAAAGTGGACATTTGAGGATGAGTTGGTGAGGGTGAAGTTGGAAATCCCAATTTTAAGGCCCAAAGTTAGGTTTAACAAAAAGGAATTTTAAGGGAATTATGATTCATTCTTGTTAGACCGTGAAAAGAGAAGAAATAGAGGTCAGAGCTCTGAGGAAGAGGATTGAGGCAAAAGCTTCGTGAGGTTTCCAAGAATCAAAGAGAAAGGTTTAGAGTCGGAAATTAAGATATGAGAAGTATTGCCTTCAGTGTTTTCAATATGTGATTCAATGTGTTTAAAGATGATTTAAGAGTTTAGGGATTTTTTAGTATT